AACTTGCCTTGGTTAAACCAAAGGAGCAAGACATTTGTGGCAGGCATTTGATTCAGAAATGGGGTGAGCAGATGTGAGAGGGGAAGAAGGAGATACCAAGGTGGGTTGGGGGATCTGTGAGGCAGGGGAATTCATGTTTACGGGGCACTTGGCACCATGGTCTCAGTGGCTGTTATTGTGCCCATGGATAAGGAAATTGAGGCAAAGTGGCTGGCTAGCTGTGGAGCCAAGACTGGTTTTGGGTGTCTGTGGCTCCCTGTCCAGTGCTCTTTGCAAGGCCAGCCAGTCCCTGTGGGCCGGAAGCCATTTTCTCCAGCCCTTCTCAGGTGGCCCTCAGAGACCCTGTCCAGCCTCAGAGCCTTCTCTTCCCAGAAGGCCCCTCTCCAGGGCAGAATTTCAAAACCAAAGCATAATCCTCACCTGGGACCCCAGCAAACAGCACAGGGGCTCAAGCCCCTCCTGCACTGTAGTAGTGGGTCTGGTTCTCGGGAATGCTGGGGCTACAACCAGACAGACCTAGGTTCAAGTCCCGGCTTCACCATCTACTCCCTGTCATGAACTTGACCACATTATGCATCCTGGGCCTTGGTTTCAGTCTGTGAAATGCAGGCAAAAAAATATGCTGGGGAGAAGAGGAGGAACTAGGAAGAGGAAAACTAGTAAAAATGAAAGTGGGCTGTGTGTCAGTCCATCTTTCTGATCATCCCACACAGACTCCAGGCATGAGAAAGACCACTAGAAGATCAGGAAGTGGAGGATTAACCCAGGCGGAGGCCCTGCTGAGAAACCCAGGGCTCTACCCTGCAGGACCTCAGGGCCAAATCCTGTGTTGGGGCCATGGGATGGATTAGGCAGGCCTCTGCCTTTAAGGAGATCCCAGGCCAAAAGGGGAGGAGTGTTAACCTTATCCAGTCTAAGGGAGTAAGTGGACATTCCATCCAGTCTCAGGAGGGAGGCAGATACTCCGTTCATTCTAAGTGGGGGATTCAGATGCTGTCTAACCTGGGCGGGGGACTGCAGGAGGGAAGAGCAATTGAGTCTAAGGAGGAAGTGAACAGTCCATCCATTCTGGGGGTGTGGGAGCAGTGGACACACCCTGTCTAGCTGTACGACAGGCAGCTTTGATTTTGTATTTGGTGTTTCTGCAGTGGTTCAGAGTACCTGGTAGATACGCGAGGCTGCTTGCATTCTCCATCATTCAACAACTGTTTATAAAGCAGCTCCTCTGTAATCCTAGCACTTTGTGAGGCCGAGATGGGTGGATCATCTGAGGTCACGCATTCAAGACCAGCCTGACCAACATGGTGAAACCCCGTCTCTACTTAAAAATACACACACACACACACACACACACACACACACAAATTAGCCAGGCATGATGACGGGTGCCTGTGATCCCAGCTACTCAGGAGGCTGAGATGGGAGAATCAGGGAACCTGGAGACGGTGGTTGCAGTGAGCCAAGATGATGCCACTGCACTCCAGCCTGGGCGGCTGAACAAGACTCCATCTTAAAATAAAATAAAATAAAATAAAATAAAATAAAATAAAATAAAATAAAGTAAAATAAAATAAAATAAAGCAGCTCCTGTGTGCTGGCTTCATGCCAGGTACTGGATGGAGGGTGGTGGCGTTTGAAGCTAGTTGAGTGCTTTGGAAGCAGGCAGTGAGGTGGGAGCTAAGGATCCTCTTTGGGGTTCAGAATGCAGAGGGGAGTATGATCTGATAACTCCTCTTGGGGCTGCCAATGTCAGGAACCCAGAACTCCAGAAGTTTTCCTTTAAGCCTTGTTTTCCCACAGTGCTTCCCAGGACAGGACACTGCGGGTACAGCTATCCGCTCTGTCACATCTGCACAGCATTGGTATCTCATTCTCTTCAGATACTGGACACTTGAAAGTTTGTCTCAATGATCTATTGATGCACTCAAACCACACTAAATTAGCTTTGTCATGTGGTCCAGGTTCGGCTGGGCAATTCTGCTGGTTTCATTTAGGCTCACCAAGGCAGCTGAAGACACCTTGGTGCAGCATGGTCTAAGTTGGCCTTGCTTGGCCTGGGTTAGCAGCTGTTGGCTGAGCCCTATGTCTCCAGCAGGCTAGCCTGGGCTCATCCATTGGATGCAGCCTTCCCAGAGCAAGCCACAGTGTGCAACTGCTTCCCAAGCCTCTGCTTACATCTCGTTTGCTGATGTCCCATTGGCTAAAGCCGGTCATTTGACCAAGCCTGTGGACAGTGTAGGAGAGGATTACACAAGAGCGGTGGGGCTCCTGGGCACTCATGGCTGTACCAACCTACGACCAACTCTCCTGGGCGCCAGGCTGTTTCCTTCCTCTGCACCTTTGCCCAGGCTGTCCCATTTGCTTGTTATGCCCTGATGGGTGATCTCCTACTCGGGCAAGTCGCAAACTTCTCTGTGCCTTAGCCTCCTCCTCTGTAAAATGGGGATCACATGAGTTTAAGTTATTCTGAGGATTAAACGAGTTAACACACAAACATTTAAAACAGTGCCTAGCACAGAGTAGGTCCTCCAGAGATGCCAGCCATCACCATCACAATGGTGATTCTTGGTATGACGACCCCTGCCCTCTTCAAAGCCCCGTTTAAGGAATCTCCTCCTCCCTGAAGCTGTCTCTGGTTCTCTTCAGCCAAGCATCCACCCCCAAGCCTGGTCCTATAATTATCTTTTCCTCATCCACCCACTCCATCTACAGTGGGGTCCAGAGGGAAGGGAATCCCAGGGCCCAGCCCACGGAGTGTGAGGTATCTTATTTCCTCTGCAATTAGGGAGGCAAGACAGTCCTCGGTGACTCCATTTGGCATAGGTGAAAACTGAGGCTGTAGGAGATGTGCTGACTTGCCTGGGGTTGCGCAGCTGGTAGGTGGGTGAGCTGGGAGTGGAGCCAGGTTGGGCTGTAGCAGCTGTGTTTGCCTTGCTTCACTGTCCAGCTCTCACCTGGGCCGGGTGTCGGGGTCTCAAAAGGAAGGCAGATATGGGCTCTGCCCCATGGAGCTCACAGTCTGGTGGAGGAGAAAGGCTCAAGCAGAGAGTAGGAGGTGTGAGTAGCTCTGTGGGCTGTGGGGGCCAGATGGGTCCTCGATCCTGCGGGGTCAGAGCTGGCTACCCAGAAGACATGAAATGGAATAAGCAGAGTGACATGCTCTGGGCCACAATCAGGGTGTGTGGCCGCCCTGACCACATCACTGCAGCTGCCTGCACAGCCACATCCCTGTGGGTTGTGGGACTGTGACCCTCCCCACTACCTCCCATTACTGAGGACACACCTCCTGGGCCTCCAGTAACTACCCAGGCCTCCACACCTGCTGCACCATGGTGGTGCAGCCCACCTCCCCCACGCCTTCAGCCTTGTGGACATTTTCTCTGGAGATTCCAATTCCCCGGCCTCCTTGAGGTCAGTGTCTGCCCAGAACCTCCCGACAGGAGAGAATAAACCCCACAGCACTTAAGGCAATGCCTTCCTGTCCGACTGGACAAAGATAGGCTGTGCAGGAACCTCCCCTGGGAGGACTGAGCCATCACCTGAGGAATGGGAGTCCATGGAAACGTGACTCGCCCCTGTGAGAATAAAGCCTTTCATCTGGACATTGAAATGGCCACCAGCTCCCTGAGTGACTTTGGGCAAGTCATGTCCCCATTCCAAGCCTCAGAAAGCTCACCTGTGAGATGAGGATGAAAATAACCCCCTCATAGGCCTGCCATCCCACCACCATGGCGCGTTCCACCTGCTACATAGTCAGTATTCAGGGAATGGTGGTACGGCAGTAGTGTGAATACCTTTAAACTGGAGGAGCTTTTAACAACTTCTAGAATCTCCTGGAAAGAGTGCGGAGCACCTCAGTGACCAGTTCATGCATTAGGCAGCGGCCACGACTTCCGTTAGCATTGAAGGCGTTTATGGAGGGCTTGCTGAGAGCATAGCAGAATGCTGGGTATTGGAGCCCTGAGGAGTCATGTACAATCCACTTATCACCTATGCTTGCTTGCTTTAAAAAAATACTCCTTGGCCGGGCACGGTGGCTCATGCCTGTAATTCCAGTACTTTGGGAGCTTGAGGCAGACAGATCACGAGGCTAGGAGTTCAAGACCAGCGGGACCAACATGGCAAAAACACGTCTCTACTAAAGATACAAAACATTAGCTGGGCGTGGTGGTGGGCACCTGTAATCCCAGCTACTCAGGAGCCTGAGGCAGGAGAATCACTTGAACCCTGGAAGTGGAGGTTGCAGTGAGCTGAGATCGTGCCATTGTACTCCAGCCTGGCGACAGAGTGAGACTGTGTCTCAAAAAAAAAAAAATTTCATTTAATTGTATTTTACAGAGGGATAATGTATATATAGGAAGATGACCCTGTGTTAGGTTGCTAGGGCTGCCATTACAAAATATCACAGGCTGGGTTGGGAGCTTCCACCATAGGAGTTTATTTTCTCTGTCCTGGAGGCTGGAAGTCCCAGATCGAGGTGTCGGGAGGGCTGATTTCTTCTGAGCCTCTCCTTGGCTTGCAAACAGTAGCCTTCTCCCTGCATCTTCACATCCATCTTCCCTCTGCACCTGTCTGTGTTATTTTCTCTTATAAAGATGCCAGTCGATTAGGGACCACCCTAATGACCTTGTTTTAACTTAGTCACCCCTTTAAAGACCTGTCTCCAAAATACAGTCTTATTCTAAAAGTGCTGGGGTTAGAGCTTTAGCATAGGAATTGGGGTGGGGGGTGGGAGGAACAGTTCAGCCCCTAGCGCCCCACTTTGTTTACAGTCTGAGGAGTTTTTACAAATGATATACAACAGCCAAGATGCAGAGCAGATCATTGCCCCGAGGTAGCGCGCTCATGTCCCGGCAGACAGTCCCCACCTCGCACCCCCACACCGGGTGAAAATGTCTGGTGGCCTCCTGTTGTGCGGGCTCAGTTTGTCTTCTCTGGAGCGTCAGGTAAGTGGGATCATGCCGTGTGTTCGTTTCATGCTTGGTGTTTTCTCTCCGCAGAACGACCCTGAGGACTGTGAGTGTTGCTGTGTGCGTCTGTGCTGTGTCCCCTTTCATTGCTGAGCGGTGTTCCTTTGTTTGGATACCCCACTGTCTGCTTCTTCACTCATCAGGTAAGGGACACACAGACAGTTCCAGGTCAGGCTCATGATGGGTAAAGCTTCCACTCACATCTGGGCACAGGTCTTTGTACAGCCCTGCTTTTCATTTCCAGTTGGTTTCCCCACCTAAAAGTGCTAGATTACATGGGAGGTGGGTGTTTAACTTCATAACTGCCTTGCAGGGTGATTCTCACACCCCCATCAGTCGTGTTGGAGAGTCCTGATTGCTCCAACATCGATAGTTCAGTCCTTTTCACTTTAATTCTAAAGGGTGTACACTGGCATCTCGTGGTTTAACTTGCACTTCCCTGAGGGCTGGTGAAGTTGAGCATCTTCCCATGTGCTTATTGGTCATCACATTTCGTTTGACCACTTTTAATTGGGTGGTCATTTAGAAAATTGTGGTAAAAGATACATAACGTACAATTTACCATCTTAATTTAAATTTATTCAGTCCAGTGACATTAAGACCATTCATGTGCTATGGAGGTGTCACCATCATCTGTCTCCAGTACTCTTTTTTGTCTTCCCAATCTGAACCCCTGTCCCCATTAAACACTAACTCCTCATTCTCCTCTCCCCTCAACTCGCAGCCATAGGCACCCCTCCATTCTACTGATTGTCTCTATGAATGTGACTATCCTGGGGACTTCATACCAGTTGAACCTATAGTATTTGTCCTTTTGTGACTGGCTTATTTCACTTAACATAATATCCTGAAGGTTTATCCATGTTGTATGATGTGTCAGAATTCCCTTCCCTTTTAAGGCTAAATAATATTCTACTGTGTATAGAGATCAATTGCCTTTATCCATTCATCTGTCAGTGAACACTTGGGTGGGTTCCACCTGTTGGTTATTGTGAATAGTACTGTGATGAACATGAGTGTGCAAATATATCTGTGTGAATTCCTGAATTCCTGTTTTATTCTCTTTTTTTTTGAGACGGGGTCTAGCTCTGGTACCAGGTTGGAGTGCAGAGGCGTGATCTTGGCTTACTGCAGCCGCCCATTCCCAGGAGTGATCCTCCCACCTCACCCTCCCGAATAGGTGGGACTGCCAGCATGCACCAACACACCGAGCTGATTTTTGCTATGTTTTGTAGAGAGGGGGTTTTGTCATGTTGCCCAGGTTGGTCTTGAACTCCTGGAGTCAAGTGATCCACCTGCCTTGGTCTCCCAAAGTGCTAGAATTGCAGGCATGAGCCACCATGCCCGACTGATTCCTGTTTTCAATTTTAGGTAGTCATTTGATTATTGGGTTGTAGAAATCTTACTTTTAGATTAATATCTTAAAAACTATCACCAGTTACCTATGTGTTAACTGCTTAGTTTTTCAACCAAACTTTGATCATCAGCCAACCCTCACTTTCAGCCCAGATCGATGAGCTCATGCTTGGTGATCAGTTAACTCCTTGTTTTTTAGCTAATGCGTTAATTAGCAATTACCATCTTTGTCTTCAGCTAAACATCATACTTCTCAATGCTTTGGTTATCAGCTAATGTCTTCTTTTTCAGCTAACACTTTAGTGGACATTAATATCCTTGTTAACGTATGTTACCTCAACCAGATAAGACCCGGCTGCATTGGGGAAGGGAAGTGGGGGCTTGACAAGGAACGTGAAGACATTAAAGGCAAAACTTCTGAGTTAATGAGGGGAGTCCTCCAAGAGAGTTCTGTCCTTCAGGAGCTGGAGTCTGGCTCTCCATGAAAGCTTTCTGAATGAATGAATGGATGGATGAATGAGTGCATGAGTGGGTAGTGAGTGCAGGACCACACTCCTTCTCCTGGGGATGGCATTGCTTGCTCAGCCCCAGAGCCAGTGGCTTTCACTCTCACATCTTGTTGACACATGATGTTACCCAGAAACGCTTGGAATGCCGTCGTTTCACTGGGGCCTGGAGACCATACTTTGGACCTTGGTATCCTCTGGCCCGTGGACACCAGAGCAACAGCATCCTCTGCTGCACCCAGGCTGCCGAGCCTTTTATTCTTGAGTTGGCCATGTGACCCCCAGTGGGGCATGTGACCTCTCTAGACCCACATCTGTGTGACCTCGCCCATGTGGGGCTCCCTGATCCCATCTCCTGCCTTTGCACCATCAGCCTAGGGCACTCTCAGTTGGCTCCCACCTCAGGGCCTTTGCACCGGCTCTTCCCTCCGCCTGAACACTCTTCTCCCAGACCTTGGCTCCTTCCTTTCTTGGGGTCTCAGCCCAGAGGTCATCTCCTCAGGGATGCCTTTCCTGATTGTCCCCAGAGGCATGGGGTCAGTCCAGCTGGCTGTACCTTCATTCGCTGGGTGGTCTCAGTGCCTGAGGGGGCACCTGTTCACTGTCAGGCCCAGAGTCTCTGTCCTGAGTGTGTGGGCAGCACAGGAGACCGAGCTGCAGTGTTCAGGACCCTCCACCTGCTGGTTAAACCTGGTAATAAAACCATCTGCCATTTGCAGATGCCCTTAGAAGGATGGTATCTAAGCCAGATTTCACAGCTGGGGAAAAGGGCTCAGAGAGGGGAGTGGTTTCTCTGCGGCCTCACAGCAGCTAGGGGTGGAGGTTGCACATCCACGCTCCGCTGGAACCCCCAGCTGCCTCTTCTGGCTCAGTCCCTGTCCCTCTGGCTTCCCTAAGATTGGCCCCTTTCTCTATAAAACTGGCCCCAGACTCCACAAAGTAAGGCAGCCCATGGGTGACAGAGGAGAGAGCCTGTGCCTAGGAGGGAGGCAGTGTGACCAGGGACCAAGGAGCTGGGACCAAGTGCCACTCAGAGTGGCTGGACCCTGGATTTCTATCACCTCTGTGTCTGAGTCCCATCTGCCTGTGAGTGCATGGGGGCCTCCGTGTGGACTGGGAAGAGTGAAGTCGGGTGACCGACTCGCCCCATTCATCCGGGACGTTCTCATTCTGCACACTGAGAGCCCTGCCTCCTGGGAAATGTCTCAGGACTGGGCGAATTGGGACTGCTGGTTGCACTTGAGGGAAGGGAGGGCCTCGGGGGAGGCCCAGCCCCTGCAAAGGCTGGGATGTGGGAATGGAACTGTGTGAGCTGCAGATATGGCTGCCCCGGCTTGGGGAACCCCTGCTGGGATGGGGAGCAGGAATGAGAGAGAGGAGGAACGTGAGGCCAGAGCCCCAAATGCCAAGCACAAGATTTGGGCATAAGGAACCCATGTGACCTCTTGCTAGCTGCTCCTGGAGGAAGGAGCTGTTGGGAGAAGAAAACTAAGCCCCTGGAACTGGCCACGGGCCCCTCTGCCCTCTGTAACCCGCCCTGGAGACAGGAGATGGGGGCTGATCCTCTTGCCCCACCAGCCCCCCGGGCGTTCTGACACACTGGGCTCTTTCTTAGACAAGAATTCAGTAACAAAACACTGAACAACATCCCGTGACTCAGTCCCTGCTTGAGGGGCTTTGCAAGGGGTGGACACAGAGAGAAGCTAACCCCAGACAGCCGCTGCTCTGTCTGGGTTCTGTAATTGGAAATGTCCTCCTGCCTGTCCCAAAGCCAGTGGCCGTGGGATCCTGGGGTCCAGACTGACCTTGGTCTGCTCCACCCTAGAAGGGCCGCGCATGCCTGTGGTTTAGGGGTGTTGGAGGCTGAATACAGCCAGGTTCTTGTCTTGGAGACAGCTCAGCTCCCTAAAGGGCGTCAGGAGAAGTCCCAACAACAGAAACGCTGACTGCATTCCCAGCCTGTTTTACAAACCAGCTCACAGAGGTTGAGACAGAGCACACAGTCCACCAGGTCTCAACCCCATGGATACCCCAGTGCCCAACCCAGAGCCAGCTGAGTCTGAGTTCCTGGAATGGAGGAGGCCAGAGGCAGTGTGTCAGCATCTTGGCGGTGCCTTCAGTGTGCTCTGCTGCACCCACTGCTCTTTCAGAGCTCCTCAGAGGGTTTCCTGAAGACAGTCCTGCTGCGAGTCTCTTGGTTCTCCCTGCATGCTCCGCGGGGCAGCAGCAGCCTCCCCTGGAACCTGGCCCCTCCTCAGACCAGATGCTCTGATGGGCGTGTGTGCTCCTATTCTGTGTGAACACTCAGCCCTACCCTGGGATTCTGAGATTCACTCAAGGCTGAAAAGTCCTGCCCTAGTCCAATGCAAGGGAGGAAACTGAGGCCCAGGGAGGTCTCCCTTGCTCATGGCAGAGCCCAGAACCCAAATTGGTTGTCTTCTAGCTGCACCTTCCCCTTCCTCTGGGCTCCCCACCAAAAATAGGTGCTTTTCTTGGAAGAGAATAACTTCTTTTGCCTTGAAAGTAACTTACTGACGTTTCTCCCTGACAAGACAGGGAAGTCCTTGAGAGCAGAAGGGACATCTGCTTCATCCCTGTCTTCTAAGGCCCCATCACCATGCCTGGCATGCGCTCATTAAATTAACGCCTTTTAAGAGCTCTCTTTTGTACACTTGACTTACTGGCTACCTTGCTCTTCCGCTCCCCTACCTCCACTCCTTGGCAACACAGCCCACTCCATTCCTCTTGGGCACAGCCTGGACAGAGAGGGCAGCGTGAGCAGCTGTGCTCCATGGCTGACCAGGATAGCCCAGCACGAGGCCCCCAGCTCAGCCCAGTGCCTCTCCCTTTCTCAGGGTCTCTTCCCAATCCGGTGAGTTGCTTCCAGCTGAGTCAGGTTGGCTAAACTCAGCACGACACTATCCCCTGCAGTCCTCAGCTGCCGTCCCCACACTCCCATGTCCCCTCCTCACTTTCAGCAGTGTCTCTGCCTTTCTAGGATATCTCAGCCCTTCCAAGCACCGCGCCCCTGGCTCTCAGATGCTCAGAATCGCCACTGCTGTCCTTGCTTGGTGTCGGCCCATCTCTGCACTCTTCCTTTCCCAGTTGCCGGCACACTCTCCAGTGTTCTCACGGCCCCTCTCGTTCTAGGAGGGGGCCTTCCAACTCAGGACTCATCTGGATCAGGTGAGAAAAACTCCACAGCAACAACGGGATTCAGAGGTGGGCTAGCTGGGTCCCGCCTCTCCTCAGGACCCAAGAAGTATAGGAGTGCGTAATAATCCCACCGGACAGCGCTCAGCACCACGTGATGTTTAAATGCCTCATTCTAACCTGTGCCAGAAAAAGGAATTAGGCTGCAAGTGACCCCGCGCCCAGGGCAGCCGCTAAACCATTCAGCTTCCCTCCTTCTTCCCCCACTGCCCCTGGCCTGGATACTGGTACCAGCCTCCCCCTGGGCTCCTGGGCTCCAGTCTCATCCCTCTCCAGTCTGTCTTTGGCACATCTGTGACCATATCTCACCATTTATAACAACCCCTTTATGGAGCCAGTCTGAGTCCTCAGCCATTGAATGAGTCTGAGTCCTCAGCCTGGCATTCAAGGTCCTTGATGGTCTGACCCCAACTAGACATCCCAGCTTCATCTCCCACCAGCACCGCCCATGCGCCCTCCGACCCAGAGACACCTATCTCCAAACACACCCGGCCTTTCACACTTTGGGCCTCTGTGCTGCTGTTTCATCCCCTCCCTTGGGCCATTCATCCCATTAATGACTCATTCCACACTGACTACTAATCCACTGTGAGAGGCCCTGGATACTCTGAGATGGAAGAACACAGATCTGTTCGCTGCTCTAATGACCCCTCCAGTCTGGGCTGGGGGATAGAAGTGACTCACAGGAGCACACACACAAATGCACACGCTGGGACGGGGCTTCAGACATGAGGGACATGACACTGGAGGGGTGACACGGGCTGGAAGATCCTGGTGGGCTCCCCAGGGGCGGTGTCTGAGTGGGGGTGAATTAGGAAGGAGGGCAGGAACAGTGTTCCAAGCAGAGTGAATGGCACGGCAAGGGCCCCAAGGCGGGTAGGAGCAAGGTGAGGCTGGCCGCATGCCTGGGCCAGGCTGGGCACTCAGAGCCTGCCCTTGGTGTTTAATACTTCTGGTTGCCGGCTTTAAATTTGTAATAACTTTATCTTTGAATCTGTGGTGTTTTGGGGTTTGGTTTTTTTTTTGAGATAGAGTCTCACTCTGTCACTTAGGCTAGGGTGCAGTGGCACAATCATGACTCACTACCTCCCAAGCTGAAGCCCTCCTCTCACCTCCATCTCCCAAGTTGCTGAGACCACAGGTGCACACCACCACACCTGGATACTATTTTTTTTTTAGAAGTAGGGTCTCGCTATGTTGCCCAGGCTGATCTCGAACTCCTGGACTTAAGCAATCCTCCTGCCTTGGTTTCCCAAAGTGCTGGGATTACAGATGTGAGCCAACAGGCCTGGCCTGAATTTGTGTGTGTGTGTGTGCGCACATGTGAGTGTGCATGTGCGTGTGTGTGTGTGTTTGAGATGGAGTCTTGCTCTGTCACCCAGGCTGGAGTGCAGTGGTGCGATCTTCACTCACTACAACCTCTGCCTCCTGGATTCAAGCGATTCTCCTGCCTTAGCTTCCCGAGTAGCTGGGACTACAGGCGCCCGCCATCACGCCCGGCTAATTTTTTGTATTTTTAGTAGAGACGAGTTTTCAGCATGTTAGCCAGAATGATCTCGATCTCCTGACCTCGTGATCTGCCCGCCTCAGCCTCCCAAAGTGCTGGGATTACAGGCGTGAGCCACCGTGCCCGGCTGAATTTGTGTTTTGTAAGTGAAGCCCTGTGGAACAGTGGAGTGTGCCCAGGGGACTTGGAGCCTTGGCTTGCTCACATGGGCTCCCGTAGCCTGGCACCTCTCCAGGATAATAAAGGTCCGGCTCATGACCCCATCCTCTGGCACCCCAGGCCCCAGCCAATCACTGCTGCTGCTTTCTCCAGGGGCTGGGCGCTGGTACAGAGAGGGTCAGGATCGGGCATGTGTCTCAGGGAAAGGCAAGGCAGGAGCAGTCCTTGCTCCACACTGGCAGCACTGGAAACATTGGGTGGGCAACTCCAGAGGGTGGGGGGTAAGGCACCTAACACAAGGGACCTGCCCCAGCAGGGAAGTGTCAGTACCGTTGTAGGTTGCCTGTCCACCACGCATTGGAGTGGCATGCCCAGGGGAAGGGGAGACGCCTGACTTGGTCTCCCTGCTTGTCTGCGGCATGGCCTGCTGTTGGGTAGTTGGCAGGAGAGGAAACTTGACAGCAGCTTCACGCATGCTTGATGAGTTAGGGGGGCCGAGTCCCAGGCACCTGGGAGGGTCCCCCATGAGCATCCCTGCACTCAAGAGAACGTGACATTAAATTATAAACACAAAACACCATGACAGGCCAAGAAAAAAACCATGACAGGTCGAGAAAAAACCATGGAAAAGTAGAAAAGTTTCATATTTTAGACTTTTAATGATGTTTCAAAACAGAGCTTTTTGGCTGAACACAGTGGCTCACACCTGTAATCCCAGCACTTTGGGAGGCTGAGATGGGTGAATCGCTTGAGTCCAGGAGTTTGAGACAAGCCTGGGCAACATGGTGAAACTCCATCTCTATAAGAAATACAAAATTTATCTGGGTGTGGTGGTGCACACCTGTAGTCCCAGCTACTCAGGAAGCTGAGGAAGGATGATCGATTGAGCCCAGGAGGTTGAGGCTGCAGTGAGCTGTGATCCTGCTACTGCACTCCAGCCTGGGAGACACAGCGAGATCCTGTCTCAGTAATAATAAGAAGAAATAAAATAAAACAGAGTCTTTTGAACAGGGCCCCAGATATTTGTTCTATGCTAGGCCCTACAAATTAAGGAGTAGACCTGGGGCAGGAAACATTCGAGGACTCCAGGCAGGCACTGCGACCGGACAGAGGAATGTGGGCAGGGAGCAGGTTGCCGCCCACTGGGTCTGGAGGACTTGGCACATCCTCTCCCCAGGCTGCAGTGGTCAGAGTAATCAAATCGTCTTTCACAGGGAGGGGAAACAGGGCTCAGGGACAGAAGGGTCTCTTTCCTCCGAGTGGCCCAGACCCTGTTTGGCTGCAGGCTGGTTCACAGGACATAGCCTTTTCTGGGAGGTGGGGAGGTCCTCACGCCCAGGGGTGCTCTTTGAGTACAGGTCATGGTGGGGTGGTGGCAAAAGCAGGAGGGAGTGGCAAAGACAGTCAGTGGTCTGGAGCCTGCCAAGGCCCTGAGCTACCATCTCCACCCACCAGCGTCCTGGCCCCAAATACCCGAACAGCCATTCTGAGTCTGCCCATCAGATAAAGGGTATTCTTACATCATGTCTCTCTCGGCCCCCAGCACTGATGGTGCCAGCTCTTAGCCAACCATAGGGGTGAGTTTCAAAACAACAAGAAAAGAAGTAGGAGGATGCTGGAGGGGCAGATATGTTTTTCCTCTGACTTTCCTAAACCCTCCCACAAAGCCCCTCACTTCCCAGGGCCATGTTTTTGTGGTGAAGAGAGACCAAGGACCAGCATCTTCAGGCAGACATTCAATCTAGCCCTGGGCTACAGGATCAAACGCAAGACACTCCGTTAAACTGGAATTTCAGATAAGCAAGCAGTTTTAAAAAAATATAAGTATGTCCCAAATATTGCATAGGACATACTTATACTAAAAAACTATTTGTTGTCCATCTGAAATTCCAATGTAAGTGGACATCTTTCATCGTATTTGCTTAATTTTGCAACCTTACTCCTACCTAGCCTATGAGAGCTTCATCTCTTAACAGAAACCCCAAAACTATCTTCAGGGCCCCTGTGGTTCAAGCCCAGGCACACATTTTCAAGAAACCCCAGATGACAGTGACACATTTCCCCATTTGTGATCCAGGGTCCAGACAGCAGAAGGCTTTGCCTGAGGCCACACAGTGGGTATCTGACCTGGATACCCACACAGGTGGTGCTTGGCACTTTCAAACGCCCCTCGGACCACCACTGGGTGAGTTGGGTGTTGGTGGCTCCATTTTACAGAGAAGGAAACAGGTTCAGGAACGGAGAGGGTTTACCAGGGCTCACAGGAAGTCTCGCCCCCATCTATAAGACTGACACTGACTAACACTAACCCTAACCCTAATCCAAGGCTTCAGACTCCCCAGCCACCACCCTCCCCCTGGCTTGGTGGCTAAGGATAGAAGGTTCTGGGAAATAGATGTGGTTTGAACCTCAGCACCTCCACTCACTGTCTGGGTGATCTGGGCCAGGTGCTTCCTTTCCTGGAACCTCAGTTTTATCATTTGTAAAATGGGGATGATGATGTGCCACCCTTCTAGAAATAGTGATGATGGAGTGAAGGAAATCCGTAAAGCTGATACCTCCTGCACACCCGGCCCTCAACAGTTGTACCCAGCTCGTCCCAGCCACTCTCTGCCCACTCCCACCAGCCCTTTCCCCCTGTGCTGGCCCCAGAGGCCTCCCCTGAGGTCAAGGCCTGGAGGTGACTCGGTGGCCTAGAGGGAGAGACCACCACCCCCCTCGAAAGACATAGAGCCAGAGCAGAGAGAACCAGGAGACTCAAGAGCCTGCAGAGTACCAGGGGTAGTGGCTCACTCTAGCACTTTAGGGGGCTGAGGCAGGAGGATTGCCTGAAGCCAGGAGTTTGAGACTACAGTGAGCTCTAATCACACCGCATTGCATGCACTCCAGCTGGGGCAACAGAGTGAAACTCTGTCTCTAAAAACAAACAACAAAAAATCCCAAACAAAGAGTCCGCAGAGCCCATCTCATCTCTCGCCTTCGCCCACCTCTGCTGTGCCTCTGGTGGCTCTGCCTCCGGGCCTCTGCATCTGTCCCTCTGCTGCCTGTCGCCAGGCTGGCTCAGAGTCTCCCCTGGGCTGGAAGCCCACTGCCCCCTGGTTTCCCTAGGCTGCCCATATCTGGTGTAACTACAAGGAGAGTGACAGTAGCTCACACTCATCTATTCCTTAGTAGTCACCAGGCACTTCTAAGCACTTTGTGTATGTGGAGTCATTTAACTTTCACACCAGCCATATAACATGACTCCATTTTCATCTCCACATCACAGAGAGGGCAGCAGCTTCCCCAAGGTCATGCAGCTGGTCAGTGGCAGAACCTGGGTCTGAACCCAAGCAGCACAGCTGCAGTCGGTCTGTGTTCCCAAGTCATGGCTCTGCTACTTCCCCAGCCCCTCTGTCTACTACAGACCCAGCATGTAGTAGACGTTCAATAAATCATTGTCAAATGGATGACAAGAAGTATCCCATCATATTACACTTCACTTTTTCTGGGTCTATGTTCCTGATAAAATCTTTACTCTTTGAGGGCCAGGACAAGCTCGTATTTGTCTCATGACCAGCACAGAGCCTGGTATACAGTAGTTGCTCAATAAATGCTTGGGGAATAAACAAAAGAATGAATGAACCAGAGGAGGTGGTTTAGAGGCCTAAAAAGAAAAACAGCAAGGAAGGTGGCCCATAATTTCACCTGCAAATGAAGCAGCAGTGAGTCAAACCTAGACACGAAGTCCATTCAGACAACCTTTGTTATGTGCTCAAGACAACAGGCCATGCAGGGTGACAAGGGGCACGCTGCCCAGGTGAGGAGACAGCTGAGCTCCTGGAAGGCCCCCAGGGAGTGTCCTGTCCAACATGCTTCCTGCTGGGTCACTTACTCAGATTTTTTAAAAAAATTTATTGAAATACACTCATATGCCATAAAATTCAATCATGTAAAATGTACAGTTCATTGCTTTTTTTAAAGTTTATTTACAGAGTTGCATAACCATCACCACTGTCTAATCTTAGAACATTTT